TTATTCAGCAATTCTGCTCTGATTCATGGAGTTGTATTGGTTTCTTCTGATTAAACAGGCTAGATGTTGTGGTACCCACCTGGCACCCAGCAGGAAGGCCGAGGCTGGAGCCAGCAGCCAGCTGGACAACACCTGACCCATACAGATAGTCCTGTCTAAGAAAAACAAAGGTTTATTAAATAATCAGAAACAAAACTAAACAGATAATGAACTTTTATAGGAAGCTGACTCCTCCAGGAACAGGATTTACATTCTCCTTCATTTAAATCACTAGTACCAGTTCCATTTCTCTTTACATTGCTTATGTCCTAGCTACTTTCTCATAATTTTTGAAATATGAATGTTTTTGTTTGTGTATTTGTTTGTTTGTTTGCAAAAAGACCTCTCTGTAGTTCAGGCAGGCTTTGAACTCACTATGTATCCCAGGGTGACCTAGATCTCCAGGTGATCCTACTGCCTCAGCTTCCTAAGTTCTAGGATCACATACGTGTGTTCCCATGCCTGGCTTTAGTTGATAATATTATATTTATTTAAGATTTCTGCATTAAAACATGTAGATGAAAATATACTAAAAACAATATAGAATATCTACAATTTTGATGAAATTTTTTATAAGACACTAAAACAGACCTAATCATTTAAAGTATTTCTTCACACAAAAATTTTAATACATAAAGTGAAGGCATTTTATCTTGGGTGACAAAATGAGATGTGTATGTGATTCAAAGGAAAGAAGCTATTTTGGTGCAAGCTTATATTCAAGATTATTGACTATCGAAATGATTATTGACTGTAATCATTTTGTTTTTACATTTTATGTAAATATTGCTGAAATTATGTACACATTTCATTTTTAAGTATTTTTGAAATGTCTTTCAGATGCTTTGTAAGATATGGAAGACATTTTTATTCAAATAAAATAACAAATTTTCTCTGCTTTTAATATTTCTTAGACTGAATACAAACCTGAGTCTATTTCTTCACATTGAGCAGCTTTCAGTGTCTTGAAAACACTGATCCTAAATTATGTCTCCTTAAGAATGAGTTGTTTTTATTACTTCATGGCACAGTGTATTTAGAAGCCTGTATCACAGATACCTGGGAGTGATGGGGGGTCACATGCAGTGAGCTTGGCCGGGTTCTCTTGGCAAACTTTGTGATCTGAAGCAAAGCCCTCATCCTTATCAGCCTTCACTCTCCTGTTCACCAGGGTAAGGCACCCAGGACAGATGCAGTGCCCAGCACACACACAGGCAGGCTTCTGAAAGTCCTTGCCCTGACCCTCAGTGTCATTTGTTTTGGCTGACTGTGACCCTCTGGTCTTCCCTTCGTGCAGATGTGGACAATGAGAATCTCATTTATACAGATTAAATTATTTATTCAGAGCAATTATGGCCTAACCTAGGCCAAGCCAAGAGACCCCAGAAATTCCACTGAAAATGTCAAAAGAGATATATATGCTTTCTTCTCTGGTCACAAACAGATAAGGAAATAATAGAGGGGGGGGGTCTCTGTAGCAAGTCTGGGTGCACAAGTCTGAGAATGAAAAGGGGAAAAGAGAAAAGCAGTAAAGGGGAAAGCAGTGTAAGGCATCACTCTGAATTTAGCAGAGGACGAATATTTCTGTATTTCTAGAAATTTCTATTATATGTGACAATAATCCTAGCTTCTTTTGGTATAAAATAATTTGTGATGAGTGTCTGTCTATCCATAAAACAAAATGTTGTGCAATCTAATATTGTAGTGAACTATATCAGCTTTTAAAAGACAAAACCCTAATAATGTTTCTAGATTCAAAATTCATTTTTAAAAATAGATAATGTCAAAACTCTTTTCAGTAAAAACATTCTGTTTAACTATCAAATTTACTTTTGTAGCTAGTTCTTCAGAAAAAATAGGTTTTGAATGTTTGTATGATAAAATCAGTGATCAAAATTATCTCATATTTGCACTTCAAATCTAGACTCTTAGAGTATCAAGTGAATGTTACACAATTAAAATAAGTGTTAAAAACATGTAAACTATCCTTTTTTGTTGACTACTAATAATCTCAGCTACAAGATCTTTCTGGCTTCAAAAACATCAATGCTTTCCCTCTATATTCCTTCGCATGAAGCATAACTTGATTTTCTTTTTTTAAAAATTTTATTTAAAGAAAGACTAAACATAATAAGAAATAGATATAAATAATGCATACGTTCAGAGAAAAAAATAAACAGTAAGACATCACTAGTTGATATTTACATGTTGTCATTTTACAAATAGTTGTTCAAGATACAAAAATGGAACATGTAAAGTGGGAATTCAAACAATGAGACTAAAAACATTCTGTTTAACAGTCCAACAAAAAAGTAGCATGGTTTTCAATCCTATACACTTAAACATACATGCAGTTATCCATATCTTCATTTATGTTTAGATTAGACAAACTAAAGCAGTTTAAAATCATTCTGAACAAATAATAATAGTATTGCTGGATTTCATATCATGATACTCCAGAATCAGTACTGGGTACTGTAGTTTTTTTTTTTTTTTTTTTTTTTTTTTAATTTAATTTAAAGGAAGACTAAACAAAACAGAAAATGGGTAGAAATAATACATAATTTCAAAGAAAAAATAAGCAGTAAGAAATCACTAGTTGATGATCACAGACTGTCCTCTTACAAACAGTTATTCAAGACACTAAAGTGGAGCATATTAAGTGGGGATTTAAACAGTGAGATTGCAGCCAGTTCTGTTCAATTATCCAACAAAAACTTAGAAATATGGTTATCAATCCTATCCACTTAAACATACATGCAATTATCCATATCTTCAAGTATGTTGAGATTGAATAAACCCAAGTAGGATAATATCACTCTGAACAAAGAATAATACTATTGCTGGGTTTCACATTGTGACACACAGGGATCAGCACTGGGTATTTTAGTGTCTCTTTTTCTTCATCATTTCATCATGTGTCACAAGATCAGTTCTCATAAAATGTTTATAGATTGTATACATGCATGAGTGTTAACAAGTATTTCTATCCATTCTATATTAGAGGGAGAAACAAAACAAAGTAAGACAAAACAAAACATATTCCTATAAACACAAGAAAATGAAAAAAAAAACATATAAGAACATTGTATGAAGAGTTCAACCATGGTTCCTGTGTTGTCTTTTATCTCCAATAGAATTGGCTAAGTCATCAGATACAGTATAATTGAATATATCAAGACATAATAGCATTAATAAAAGCATAACTTTGTATATAGCATAGAACTTCAAAAACCCAGCAGTTATCAAACCAGGATGTGTATCATAGTCTTGTCCTCTTCAGCATAGTTGTCTATACTCTCAGACTTGATACTAGCAATCATATCAGTTTTGAATAAAATCTTCTCTGCCTCATTTCTGTTTTGCTCTTTTTTTGCCATCAGTTGTCTGCTTATCTTATTCATTCTGTTTTATGCTCCATCCATTGAGGCATCTTTGCCACTGTTCCTTGAATCCTAGTACTTTTCATTCTCTCTAGAATTCTCTGTAGTATTCTCTGTAGAGTTGGATTGGTGGTTGCGAATTTCCCAAGATCCTCTTTTTCTTGGAAGCATCTTGTTTCTCTATTAATATCTAGAGACAGTTTATCAGGGTAATTCAATCTGGGATGGAGGTTATTTTCTTATTTTCTTTCTGGGCCTGGAATATTTCATTTCAGGCTTTTCTTGACTTGAGGGTTTGTGTTGAGAAGCCTGCTGCTATTCTGATAGGCCTTCCTTTATAGGTTATCTATTTCTTGTCTCTGACAGTTTTTAATATTCTGTTCTTATATTGAATTTCTGGGACCTTGATTATTATATGCCTGGGTGTAGCTCCGTTTTGGTTGTAGGTGGCTGGATTTCTGTATGCCTCATATATCAGAATATCATTTCCTTTTCGTATGTATGGGAAATTTTGCTTAATTATTTCTGTGAATATACTTTGTAGTTTCTTTGTTTGTACCCCTGCTTCTTCATTCATATTCTTTATTCTCAAGTTATAGATCCTCTTGTCGTCTTCAAGTCTTTGTAGTGTTACTGCTTGTCTCCCTGTTATTTTAAAAAAGTTTTCTTTTTCATAATCCCACATTGCAAACCTGTCCTCCAGTTTGAATAATTTATCCTTAGTTTTTTTCAAGCTGATTTGCCGTGTTTACATAGAGTTTTTAATTACTTGATTTTCATCAAATCTATTAAGTATACACTTTTCCTAAGGGTGTATATTATTCTCTTTGCAAATATCACCACACTATTTTCCCTCATCAACTTTGAATTCTGCACAAACATCAATTTCAGTAAGTTGACTTGACTACAGAATTTAAGCTCCAAAATTGCCTATAAATTTCATCTCTTTCACCTGCATATTTTTTTCTTTATAGATGCCCTAACAGATATTTTATTTAGTTATATCATCTCTGTCTTTTGACCCAGTTGCTGTCAGAATAACAGTGTCTTGTGGCCTTGACAAACAAGTTTGTAAAGTAATTATTTTATTCGTAATTGTGTATTAAATATTTCAAATGTTGGAAATAGAAGTATTTGTTAATTAAAAATTAATGAAGTGTCGACTTAAAGAATGATTCCACAGAAATCACACAATTGTTGGTAATATCATGGTTGAAGGTTAATTGAATGTTTTGCTAATTAGAAATAAAGTGATAAATGAATTTCTCTCTGTGCATTGCAATCAAAGACAGTACAATGCACAGGTGTGCAATGCAGTCTCTGCCGTGAAAGAGCAGACTGGTGACACCACGTAATGTGCATCATCATCTTTTTTAATTTCCAGGTCAGCTCAGGTCTTTGATCCATATGGCTGCCTTAGAGGTGCACTGTCTGTGACCAATTAATTCTTCAATCTAAAACCAGTCATCTTTCCCTGCTTTTGGAGCATCTTTCCCTTGCCCACTGATCCCATCCTTGCTTGGTCATCCAAGGTGTAGAAATAACATGGAAGGAGCTGAGGGTCTTCTCCCCGCCCCCCTCAGCTTCCCTCTGTTCCTCTCCACCACCTTCTGCAGGAATTGGCAGGTGTGGGGTGTGCGGCACAGGGTAGTGGTCCACCCTCACAGCCAGCATCTCAGGGGTGCACTGGCATGGCAGCAGGTGGCTTCTTGCTCTCCACTGTCAGCCTTTGACATGCCCATGAACTTCTCCAGCTATCCAAAGATGCTCTGGTTTTTGGCAGTGGGAGATACTCCCTTTCTAATTTCTCATGTCAGTATGGAATCATTCTGGATTCAGGCAGGACACTGCATGGCAAAAAATATACACCAAATGCTTTACTTTATATGTGAGAAGCAGTTCATTCTTAGGCTGAATTTAATGTTTTCATCCAGAAAATTAAATAAAATCAGTAACCCCTTATTTTCAAGTTTTCCCTAAGCATTAAATGATACTCACATGGGGTCTTATTTCCAGCTGTTTGCCTTTTTTAATGAACCTTACTGAAGGAAAGTTCCTGGTTTATTCTAGAAATCAAGGAATCTTGTGGCCTATTTCATGAGCTTTCTCTCGATAATAAAGTACACAGTCTAAAATGTGTCAAATAACTTCAGAGAAAATCCTTGTGTTGCAGAAACTGAGTCTGTCAGAAGAGACCACTGCTGACCTGCATCTCATTTTCCAAAGGATTGTAGTTTTGTCATCCTGCCCTGACCCGCCAAGATACAATCTACTGCTTCTTCTGTGGTTCTCAGGACACATCGCAGGCTATCGAACTTTATTATAACTTACTATATAATCTGTAGTCTTTATTATCTGAAATTATAAAGTAGAGCTTCAAATTAATTTTGCCTGCAGTAATACACACACACACACACACACACACACAAAATCTCTCTCTTTCTCTCTCTCTCTCTGTCTCTCTCTCTGTCTCTCTGTCTCTCTCTCTCTCTCTCTCTCTCTCTCACTCTCTCTGGGAGACTAATCACAATGTATAAACAAAAATTTATTTTATCAGGGCAAGGAGGTCAAACCTAGGGCCCTGTGTGTATGCTAGACAAACTGCCTATCATAGGACCAAAATAGTCTGGCAATAGATTTCTATTACTAGTGAGGAAAACTTTGATGTGTGCTAATTGGTACAAACCTTCATTAATGGTCCTTGTTCCTGGAAATCTTGTCAGGCTCATGGACTACTTGACAGCTGCAGATTATAAGGTATTCCTTTCGCACATGCATTTCCTCCAGAGATGAAATCTTCTTTAAAGATTTACTCAGAGGTCCATAAGGATGAGGGAGCACCTAGGTCACATCCAGAAATAAAGCAACTCATTGACATTTTCTGTGGTGAGGGATTGCATCTTCAGGCTAGGACAAATATTTTATGATTCACAGTGTTTCATACTTCAAAACAAAGAGCTGTGGGGAACAAGTGGGACAATCTGTCCAGAATTAGAATTTCCTACATAATTCCGGGTGCAGAAGAAGTTTAGGAAGCTATGGAACATTTCTAGGTAACTTCTATTTCCCTGTAAGTGAATAGAGCCAATAGAAAAGGTCCTACTTTGGGGACTGAGGTAAGTAATCAGGAAGTGAGAAGGAATCTGAAGGCATTCTGCACATAACCCATTTGTGGTACTGTTACTGTGATTGTTATTGGTATGATTATGCCCAGGTGGCATCTCCTCCTCTCTCAGCTCTGCACACAGAAAGTTAGGGAACATATTGTGTGACAGGGTGCACTGTATTTTCCTGCTTTTCTGTGACACACCTTCTGGGTTACTGACTTCAGATGGCTTACTCTAACTGTGATTCTCTGCACCCCAAACGGTGAGCCAGGGATGACCCGCATCACTTTCCTGTTCAATATCAGTGACCTGGTTATTTCTGTGCATTTCCCTGCTGGGTGGTCCTGTCAATGAGGGATTAATGGGACCTCAAGAGACTGTGACTGCTGAGAGTCAAAGAATAAAAGCAAACAACACCCTTGGACAACATAAAGCCTTACCAGCACTGTGCTCTACCTAGAATTAATAGCCCCAGATTACTGCAGGAAGCCTAGGCAGGGTCTCAAGTATCGAGGAGATTTTTGATGGTTTATAATTCTCAGGTGGGAATTATTTCACTAGCAGGTCTTTTTTTTCTCCAATAATGTTAAATTTATAACTTCTGTTTAATACCAGATGAAATAAATTCACACTAGGATCATTTTCCCACCTGTAGTTACAAAAGAATTGGTTACATAAAGTTATTGCAAGAAATTACTGTTATTTCTAACAAATTATCTCATAGATTTTAATACACCATTTAAAATAATGGCCAGCATCTCTACTGACTTACACCTAAGTCATCATTTTCAGCTTTAGCATATTTTATAGTGCATCCTGAAACCACTAAAGTTGCATTTTGGGGTCATTTCTGATTTCTTTGTTTGAAACAATACTGATTAAAAATCCTCAGTGTGACTTAACGGTCAAGTTCATAAGCTCTAATTCTCTTCTGAAATTTCTAGGTCACTTTTCAATTAACCTAAAAGTACCATTTTAATAAATTTTCTTTTCAGTTATAAGTTTTATTTTGTGTAGAATTTAAAGAAAAAAACCAATGAGCATTACTGCAAATAACAAACTCTATATTGTATTAAAGGGAAAAGAAAACCTTAAATAAGAAGTTTCACTTTTAAATCTCTATCATGCCATTTCTAATATTATGATTGATGTGCCCATGAGAAACACACCAGTCTCTGTATTTCAGACTTGATAAAAAAAGTGTATCATCAATAATATATATTGCACTGGGAATTACATAGTTGCTTAATACAATTTCAGCCATATGTAATTGTTTCTGTCATATTGCTGTCATATCTTGCAGCTACCTTGCAAAGTATCTTGCATTTTTTATATATTTTTATACACACAAACACACACATTCATTTACCAAACATGCATTGATTTATGCCCATCTTTATGAACCACTGTGTAAGTTATAAAATAATGCTATATAAACTACTAGTATCATAATCTCTGAGACTTCTGTGAAGAGTCTCAGGTGAAATCTTAAATTATGATAGGAACGAATACTAGAAGTAAACTTCTGTTTTGAGGGGGAGCCAACACAGAAATGCCTAGCAACGCAGATATAGTTGTTTGCACTGAAGACAGTGAAATGATGTAAAAGTCAGGCAGAGCAAACTTTGCTTTATCTCTCCAACAGGGTGGAAGTTTACAGTGTTTCTGTGGCTGACCCCACACAGAGTGAAGGAGTCCTTGTTCTGGCCAGTACAATTAGCATCAGTGGGAAAGAGAAAGAGAGAGGGTGCTAAACCTTGACAGTGATGGTAAACTGAACTGCATCTAGAATCCACAGGACCAGATGGTTTTATCATAGTGCACTTAAATATATATAATTATCAGTGAAACTGACAGTTTCCCAAAGAGCCAGGATTGCTAGTACAGGGCTAATGGTGATTTGTGCCATCAAACTAGGAATATAGTGAAGCCAGTCTACTGACATATTGAAAAAGTTTATGATAAAATCAAATGATTTCTGGAGGAAGGAAAGTATGAATATAAAATACAACAATACGTCTTTCTAGATTTGAAGACTCACAGTAGCTATGTGCCTGTTATTATGACTATTACACATTTTAATGCATTTCCCTGTAAGCTTAGATGAGAAGCATCTCAGGTTCCTACCTGTTACACTTGAAATCCCAGTTGTCAGTGTGTAAAATCGATGTCTCTACACTGCAGCTGTGTTTGCTGCTGGGATTTGTCTTTCCTGTTTTGGGGAATGGTGGCGATGGGTTTCTTCTTTTCAGTAAAGTACACGAGTGGAATGTAAGTGGGAAAACAGATTGGCTACACCAGCTATTCCACATTTACACTGAATAGTTAACAGGCCTCTCCCAAATACATGTGTTTGTATTTCACTCTCCCTTACTGCAGTCCCTATTACCTGCCTTATTTGGGCTCCAAAGCTTCAGGATGCATGCAGTCAGTGGAAGGGATTGATGGGGTATCAGAAAATACAGGGAGCGAGGGTGGTTTGCATTCTCCACCCTTCCCTTCATGCATGGCTGTAGAGTTAGGGTTAGGGTTAGCGTTAGGGTTAGGGTTAGGGTTAGGGTTAGGGTTAGGGTTAGGGTTAGGTTTCCTTCCTTCCTTTCTTGGCTCCATAATCCTTCTAATGGTTCTGTCTGTCATATCTGGGTGTGCTACCAGTGTCTTGCCTACACTACTTCACCCTCCTGGTTAGTAATTTATTCTTGATTACATGATCTTGATTGCACCTCTGTAAATTGTTGCCTCTGATAGGTGTTTGATTCCTTCAGCAATCGATTAAGATGCAGCTCGACTCAGACTTTCTACCTCCTAAATGTACCTCCTTCAGTGCTGATTATTTCTACCTCCATTTGTTTTTGCCTGTACTATGGATAAGATTTTATATAACAAATTTTAATGTGAATCACCACAACAACAGTGAGAATATTCACTGAGATAAGTAGCTAAATATTCAACTCATGGAAAATGAAAATGAAGTCAGGAAATGTGTCACCATGGATAATAGCATGTAGGCAGTAGAACTCCCTCAGCTTTGTGAACAGATCTGCTTCCACAGTGATTTTTCTCTCTAAAACAGTGTTTCCATATTTGCTATATGAGAACACTGAGCTTCTGTGATTTCCTGGAATGCATAAAATAATGATTTGTGTGGAAAGGATTTTAGTAACCATTCAATCTGGTTTCCTCATTTGGCTGACTCAGAAGACAGAGCCAAGGATGAAGAGCAGTGTTAGCCAAAATTCCACAGTGTATGAACAGCAAAGTGTATTAACACCCCCCAGGGGGGCAGTGAGGGTACCCAAGGGAGATGAGGCTCATGACTCATGCCTATCGTCACCTCTCTAATGAAAGGATCCTATACATTCATGATATATACACACATATACTTCAGTCTACTTGGAAAGTCACTGGGCTAAGATGACTCCAGCAATTTGGATTGCTACTTATGCAAACCAAATTTGAATTAAACAGTAAAAGGAAACCTTACCTTCAGTATTCATACCACTGACTCATCTCTGTGTGGGGGTCTGTAATTTATGTAATGAAATATGTATGATTAGTTTTCCTTTAGAAATCGCTTTATAAAATGTGTTCTCCAGCCATCCCCCACCTGCCCAACACTGCACCCTCAGGCCACAGCAGCATGCTAAACCCTGTGACATCTCACCTATCTGATTCATTCCTCACTAAATGCTCAAAATAACTTTCACAGACATGTATCAGATGTGGAATAAAAAAATATAGTGAAAATTTAATTTTAAAACAGGCTGCTATTAGAGAAAAATTGTTGCTAAGTTCCTTCAAACACTTTCCCTTGCATGAAAAACATTTATTCCATTGTTCCTGTTGTTTTCTGATGCAATTCTGGGAATCAGTCTATGTGTCTCTAATTGCACTATCTTTTCTATTTACCTAAACATCCCAAACTGACCCATAACTTTTATGTCCTGTAGTCACCAAGGCTCTGTGGAGCAGCCGGAAGTTGCAGGGTGCCAGGTCCAGTGAGAAAGTAGGTCAGGGCACTCCCTAAAGTTTCCTGCCTGTCTCTTGAGTTGGCAGTATTTGCCCTATCTTTTTATTACACCCTGTAAGCAGGATAGAAGACATGCTGAACTGCCTCAGAAAGTGACAAGGACAGCACAATAACGGTCTTTTATTGAAATACATTTTAAAGAATGAAAACACTCCAGAGTTTTCAATCCTGTTGCATCTGAATAGAAAGGTGGAACTGTATATGTCACACATTACCACAAACACTACCAGGCTTGAGAGGCCCTGCACAGCCTCCAAGTCGCTCTGACTTTGGGGGAGCTTCACAGCATCGTCTTCCTGCAGTGGGCTTCCTGTGGGTGCCTTTACTCTCGCTTCCTCCCCTGCACCATTCCACCAAAGAGTGGGAAGTAGCCACTGGTTTTACCTCCAAGTGTCGGAGTTTATTCCTTACAAAATAAAGTGCACAAACTACTCGTAAAGGTCATTCAGAGCCACTGAAAAGTAAGATTCATTTTGTTTTCTGAGGTGATTTCTGCCTTACTCTTGGTACAGAGGTATGTATCTCTGTGCATTAGATCCAGACATGGCAGCCAGCTAAGAGTGCTGTGCCTAAGAAAAAGAAATTTTATTAAATCAGTTTCACTCAAACAAATTCGTTTACATGTGTTTGTATTTCACTCAGTAACATTCCGCTCAACTAAGACTTTTATATCATATGAAAAATTTATAAATTAATTCTCAAGGCCTCTATATTGCCCCAAAATTTTTATTTTCAGGTTCCCAAGGGTAACAATAGAAAAAAAAAAATCTTGGTCATGGGATGGAGACTTCATCATTAGAATTATCATCCTCTGGAAAGAGGAGCAGGAGGAGCCTCCCTTCCCTGAAGCCAGCAGATGTCTGTGGAGGTTGAGCTGCCAGCCTTGAGATTGGACCTCTCATCCTAGAGAACTAGGAGGCAGCAAGTTATACTGCTTATAAGACCTCCAGTTCAGGATATTTCCCTGTAGCTGACAAAATGCACTAAAATGCTGATTAAAGAAAGAAAAAGCCAGAAGGAAAAATTTCTTAAGGAAGCATGTCTTCTCATAGACAACTAGATGACATGAATTGACCATTAGCTTGTCTGTAGTAATATATAGTGTAGTTTGTTTTGCAGTATCTGAAAGATATTAATTATATTTTGATCAATATATTTTTGTAATATTCTAATTGCCATTGCAGTTTGCTGAATGCTTCCAAAATGAACGTGCAGTACATATTGTTAACATGTCAGGTATTTTATTTGATGCTTACAAAATTTTTCCTTATTTTTTTTTCTTTGCAGACCATGGCTAAACATAGTTCATATTAATCTACTGCTCAAAGTAGAAATTCAAAACAAGAGGAAAGAAATAAGAACTGTAATCCAACTGTAATCCAAAGTATTTACACGTATGCCTTCAATTGTATCAAAATTTTTGCAGGTTATTTGGCCAATGAGTCTGTTTTTAATTAACTCTCTTTGGTCTTGTAAGACAAATAAGTGAATCTGATGGTGGAAACATAAAAAAGGGAGGGAAGTGGTGCAAAGAAAGGAACTGAAATGTGTTGTGTACATGTACCAATCATTTACAGCGAATATAATCAGTGCAAACATGGACTAACAAAAGCCAAAAAGATGAAGGAGGAGGAGAAGGAGGAAGACAAGAAGGTCAAAACAAAACAAGTCAAAATGAAATATCTAAATAATTATGGTAAAATTGAAGCTGATAAAAAAGTAATATTTAAATATGTTTGTGATACATTCCTTTTAAACCACTAAGGAATGTATGGATTTGTTTACATATTACTCATGTGCTCACAATCTTGCATAGTAAAGAATCAAATTTATCATGGATTTAAATCTATCTCAAATGATAAGTTCTCACAAAATCATTGGTACACAAGTACAAAGATAACCTAGATAAAATATAGATAAATCACATGAATGAACATTTCTTCAAAAAAGAGGTAAAAATCTTAGAAGTAAATCAAAAGAGGCTAACTTCATTTAGCCCCATGGAAATGCAGAAGAAAATTACAGTGAGGATTCTCCATACATATATTAGGGTTACTGTTCAATTAAAAACTCATATCCTAGATGAATGCCTGTGGGCAGAGGAAGGAGATCAAGGGTGCAGGTTGCACAGACAACAATGTGGAAGCCCCATGAGAAGAGAACTGAGGGAGGATACATGCAGCTCAATTCCATGTATTTATCCAAACCTTACGGACACTGTCCCTTTGTTATGGCCTTGTTTATGACAGCCAAAATAATGAAGCAACTTCAGTATTCATTGAGGGGCAAATGAATATGTGCACTGTGCTGTATATGTACTACAAATATTATTTAGCTCTAAACAAGGAGGAAATCTGCCAATACAGATTAATCCAGGAGACAGAAGCTAAGTGAAGAAGCCAGTCACAGAAAGAAAGAAAGTTCAAGGCTCTGCTTGCACAGTCAAATCCACAGATACAGACAATGGAATGGTTGTGCCCAGTGAATGCAGGCTGGAAAAAGTGGCAAGTTGCCTTTTTATTTTTAAGTATTATATTTAAAGAGAAAGAAGAAAAACAGCAAAAATGGTAGAAATATTATAGCATTTAAAAAAATAACAGTAAAAAGTCACTAGTTGATAGGTAAATTAGATATTATTATCATAGAAGTAGCTGTTCAAGTTACAAAATCAAAGCATAGATGTTTCCTCCACTTCTGACCCCATTTCTGAGCAGCTTTCCACCACACATCCCTTTCAGACTTCATGTTAGCCTGTTTTAGGTGTTCTCTTGTTCCAGTTTCATGTGCACTTGAGGTCTTCAAAGAAGAAATGCTTCTATGTGGACCTTCAGCAAAAAGCCCTTGTAGAACCATCTACTTAATGAGAAAAGGAGCCACCCTAGTTGAATGGGAGATTCCAGAGATCGCATCCAAAGGCAGAAACTTCATTGGTCAGCTAAGTGGTGGCCATGAAGGTCTGCCAGTTGCTGGTGGCATCTGTGCTGATGAAATCAATAAATATTTTGGAATAAAGTAATAATCTAAGAAAATTGAAGCTTCACTTTCTTTAAGACAAGAAACAAGAACAATGAGAAAAACTTTTAGAAGAACAGGAAATACAATGGACAACATAGAAGCTTTTGTTTTTATGTAACAAAAATACAGATACACCTCAAGGCACCTGGGAATTCCAGCCAAAGACATGCCCAGGGCTGGCCCAGACTTAGGCCTCT